TTTTACATTTAGCTTTTTTCCTTGAGACAGGAAGCGATGAAGAGAGAGTAGGAGAGGATTTATTCTCACTCCATTTCGTCAACCCTTCCCAATACCCCTCTTCCCAATGGACCGAATTTTCTGGGGAAAAAGACTGGGCACGCTTCCACAAAACTATGAATTCTCATCAATGATTTTTGCTTAACGAATAGCAACCGAATTCTAATGTTCCTGAGTGGTCCTCACAAAAATAAGGTATATATGACGACATTTATTTTACTTTACATTTATAGGCATTTACTGTCACATTTTCGCATCGACTGTTCCTGAAAAGCAATCGTGGAGGGGTATTCACTTTCATCGATTTTCTGCACCGTTGAATAGCTTGCGACATATGGAGTAATATATCTTTTGCACTAATTAAAGCCTTCTATAGTTCATCTTGCACTTGCATCTAACCCGACCAGGAGAGGGTAATGCCTCACACTTTAGCGATCAAAGAATATGTAGTCTTTTGGTTTCAGTCAATCTCTTTTTTGGGATGCATTCCAGCAAACTACTTCCATTCGTAGCGGTAGTTTAGAAGCTTATGTGACCTATACAATGATTTGCAATGGCAAGTTCGTGTAAGAGACAGTGCTTTTTGCCGCATATGCCGCATATGGTATAAATTGATAGACCGAGGAAGGAGGGAGAACTTGGTTGGCCGGGGAGGATGTTGGTAAAGGGTTCCATTTTCGGGCGATGCGTGCTATAGTGGGCGCTACTTGCCTCTACATCACGATATTATAAAATGTATTCCTACATTCCGAGACATCTTAGGCTGGACAAAATATTTGCAGTTTTCCTGAAGATTCATATTTTCCTTATACAAATATCGCTCTAGGCAGTGTGCTTCCTTTGGTACGAACCACGCACTTTTTCCAGGAAGCCAAATTGATCCTAGCAAATGCTGATAAAGATAAGGATATTCGTATTGTATGTATTGGTGACAAAGCTAGAAATGCCCTTCAACGTATTCATGGCAAGAAATTCCTGCTAACTGGAAACGATATCGGCCGTGCTCCTCCATCGTTCGGTGACGCTTCCATTGCAGCGAAGGCAATCCTTGAATCCGGCTTCGATTTTGAGGAGGTATCTTTTGACATTTGTTTTTAAGGTCATTTCAAAATGGACCTTCGGCTTTCCAAACCTACTTTTTCATTAAGCATTTTCTCATTATTTCATTCACTCCTTGTTAGTTTTTCTTACATTTTTTGTCTTGTGGAAGACTATTCCTGGGCACTGATGAGAAACAGTGTTTGCCATTTCTCTCACTTGAATTTTCTCGTGGAGGATTTAATAAGGGGATGGGTAAGGGGCTGAAGAGAGTTGGTTTGCTCAATCTTAAGTCCGTGCAATGATTTCTACACTAACTTTTCATTATAAATCTTGCTGAGTTCTTTTTTTTTGTCAAGAACTTTTTTGTGTGCCCTTCATATAATATAGAACAACCCTTATAATGTTTACAAAAGACTCGGTTTATTCATAGAATAATCAAAAACTCGTGATCTCTTCATCTTATTTTCAGGGTACAATTCTTTTCAACAGGTTCAAGACTGTGGTATCCTATCAAACTAGCAAAATGGCAATAATGCCGCTTGAGGTTCGAGTTTTAGTCTTGCTGTGCTTCTACAGTGCGTAGTCCGCAATCAATTCGACTCGTATTCAGATTATTTGGCTATGAATTTCATAATATTTTCTTTGAGCTCTCAGAAACAGTTGTAAAAAGATATAATTCAGATATGAGAAGGCATTTTTTCAGTCTCTAAAACAGAAGCAAAATCTGTTGACGTACGATTCGGTAGACGACGATGTTCTTCAATCATATAGTGAATATTCGCTCGCTCAATTGATCTACTATGCAATGAAGGAATCGGCCACTTCAGAACAGGCATCCCGTATGACGGCTATGGACGGAGCATCGAAGAACGCCGGTCAGTTGAAGTTTCTCGAGCTTATTATCTGTTTAGTGCTGTTTCTCTTGCATGAGATAATATTTGTTTTTCTCGTCAAATTTTTTCTTGCTTTTTGGTATAGCCGTGCTCCCTTCTCAATGACTCGTCTACTCCAGAACTGTGATTCTAACTAGGCCCATGGTTCTGCTCACCGTCCCCTGTATCACCTTATTTGGTTATTTTTTGCAATTTCTATTCCGTTTTAAACGCTCTTTACCTATATGAGCCCCTCGCTCTTCAATCAAAGGTCGATCGCCTGGGGCACTTTTGGGCTGACTGGACGTACTATGGTATTGCCATTTTTGCCCAATTCCACTGTATAATTTCATGACCTTTTGGATGTTTCGAAGCAATTCACTCGATCTGTTGAGAATGCGAGTTTTCCTAGACGGATTTTAGAAAAAAAAACTCGGTAGAAACCACCGTGAAGGATTAGTTTTTGGAGTAGTAATGTTTTTGAGGTTGAAAAAGGTCTTGTACGTTGGTTTGTGCGTCTGTGAATATTTCGTAGTTCTATCAAGTTTAAGCGGCAATTAGATGTGACTTCTTTGCAGGAGAGATGATCGACAAATTGACATTGGCCTTCAACCGTACTCGTCAAGCTGTTATTACTCGTGAACTGATCGAAATCATCTCCGGAGCCGCTTGTGTCTAGACCAGGATTTCCGTCAGCACGTGGTCTCGACATGCTGCTGATGATGTTTAGACTTCGATCGCAGTTGTTTTATAGTTGTTTAATGAATAGTTGATTGGAAAAGTAAATATTAAACGGTATTTGCAACGCATTGGTATTGCCTTTCGGTTACCTTACAAATTGAAACGAATTTGAGTTGTTGTATATGGGTGCCATGAAGCGATTATACTCGACCTATACCCTTCCCGTTCCATCCGTAAGTGATGTCATGAGATTTAGACGGACATCCTTGCTTGTCCCGTAAGGGATGTACTAGAGACCATTGAAAAGTGTCAACTGATCATCCCTAAACTCCATCATCATGGACATTTGTGTTATCGAAAGAGCTGCAGAGACTCTCTTGGTTAGTGTTTGTTATCGCTTTTTTTGTTTTGATCATCTTTACGAAGAGGATTTCAAGTCCTGCTAAAAATTACTCGGAAATGGTTAATGTTTTATACGTATGTCTGCGGTTTCTAATAATGCTGGCTGAACTCACTTATAGAATTTCAACAAACAGGGTTACTGTGAAGAGCCGTCGAATGGGCGAAGCCTGGTGCTTTGAAATCTTAGAGGAAAAAAANAAAAAAATTTGAAAAACAGGATTTTTGTGAAGACTACTTTAGATAAAATAAACAGAATGTGATTTTCGAAAGAAGTTTTGGGGGCCTTAGTGGATTGAATCGAAGCATACGTCGGTAAGGTTCAATAACAATGGATTATAGGGGATTGAATGTGTTTCATTAGTGTGTTTTTTACTACTGCAATTCTATACATTTGCCATTTCCGTTGGATCTTCCACCGTGTGTTGAAAATGTAGGGTCCACCAAATCTGGTGTCAGCGGAAAGTCGACGTGAAGCAGAGCAGTTATTCCACAACATCAAGCAGGAACTTACAATCGAGGCTGCAGCACAAGTGATACGTAGGTTCACTGTCACGTTTTCAAATTCTGGAGAGTTGCTTAGTCAGAAAGGCTTTTTCTGGGTCATTTCTAGTAAACTGTGTAGCCCTTCAAATGTGTTCATGATTCCAATATTTTTGTATTGAAAAAGTCAATTACAGAGAGCACAAAGAATCAATGCGTTCTCTTCCAAATAGCCCAAATGACGGGAGAGATTGTACTGCGGGATTGGGTCCTGCTATCGAAGGAACAGGTCATACATACATACAAAATGCTGCTGGAATTTGTCGCCCAAAGAGAAGAGTAAGTCTTTCATTGTGTGGGTTAGGTTGTCGTTAAACAGATATATTCGCCGGTTTTTGAGTCTCTGTAGAACCGTAGCAGTGATTTCATCAAATTTTCTACGATCCGACGACCTTCTAGAGTCCTATCCCTCTATTGAGGGACTAGTCACCTACGGTTCCGCTGAAAACAGAACACCGAATAATCTGGTTCATGGAAAGAGTTTTGTACTGTTTGGACACTGTTTTTGAACTACTCTCATATTCCTTTTACCTATCCACTTCTCATAGGGTTATTTTTTGGCTTTATTTATAAGACTCATATATCGCATAACACTATAATTTCGGTTTAGCTTATCGAATTATGCGCAAACAGAATTTCTTCGTTCTGTGGCGATGATTTTGAAGCGTGGCATAATCGATGAGAAAACAGGCGATCAAGAAGAACTTTTTGAATTGATACACAACCTTTTGGTTAACCCGCATGCGCGACTGGTAAGGTCCTCATTAACTAGGAAGGTTCTCAACAGGGTTTTCTACTTTCTTTGTGCTTCCAGCAAGCTATAGGAGGGGAACTGATTTCTGCGATCACGCAGCAATTCTCTTCGTCATGGAGGAATGCAAAATTCAGTATCACTTGGGATTTTCATGTACGGGCGAAGACGAAATTTGAGGTACGTGGCTATGCCTGTTTGATTTTTTTGTGATTATTATTCTTTCCTCCATTCTTTTCTTGTCTTCTATGTGTCTCCTCCGAAAAACATGGGGAGGGGAAGGCTTTCGCGAATGATTACACAAACTTTGCTTACTTCGATATCGCTTTTTGATGTAGAGCTGAGTGCCATTTTGATGCAGTGGTGCTTGGATGAGCATAGTTCCATTTGCCCTATTTTGACAAATACTTACTTTCAAAAAAATTCACAAAAACACCTTCATTGCTTCATTTATCACGTTTTATCACTCCGCTATCTCCAGTCCATATCTTCAGTTTTCACCTTATTCTATTCACTAACTGCCCGGGACTAACGTTATCTATTGTTACCGCCTAGTTTTGTAGGATATCGGTCTCAGACGGTTGTTGGAGATGTCGTTGAAGACTCTTCATGCTTTGCTATCTCAAACGAATATTCTATCTGATGAATTTGCTCACAGGATATGTGGCAAGTTTTTAGAGGTACGCCTCCATGCTTAAAAATCTCCCTTCCAACCCCAACCATCTGTTTGTTAATATTTTGGTGTTTTGAATGCTTGTATTTATACTTTTCATATGGCATGAATTAAGGTTGCCGAAACCACCTTATCATGGAATTTTGCCTCAAAGATATTTCGACGGGTATTTTCTCTGTGTCAGGTTGAAGATTACTAAATTCGAAATTTCTATAGTAGTCATTAATAGATGGGGGATAATTTTTCAGTTTCAGACAACTAACTCATTTCGCCCACCAGCCTCGTGGAAGGATCTGTTGGAAAATGACGAGTTTTTCACGTTATTCTTCCATGTAGGGTATTTTCCATTATTCCAATTCCATGATCTTCCGAGTTCGTCATTAAAGAGTGTTTTCCAGCTACATGCAAAGATTCGTACTGATGAAGATCTTTCAACACGTTCACTTTCGTGCCTAGTCCAATTAGCTGGTCTGTCCGGTGAAGTAATGGCATCGTCTGATTTCACTGAACGTTATGTAAAGCTTTACATTGGGTCGCTTATGGATCTTTTTGCCGAAGGTAGTTGTTTTTTTTTGCTCAGCTGTGAACTTTTACCTAGTGATACATTTTTGAACGATTGGTGTGCAGCATGGTAAATTCGGGTCTCTTTTATCGAGGAATCTCTCATTTCATCTTGTCCTTTCCTTCTTTCTGTTTTTACTTCCTTTCCTTTAACTTTTCTTTTTTGAGAACAAAAAAAAAATCCTTTGGAGCTTTGTGCCCATCAGTTTTTACTGACTCTCTTTTAGTTTTATCCACTGTCTAGACTACCTTTCCTTGCAAAACAGGGTCTTTTTCCTGAATTCTTATTTACGGATTTTTCCTTACTTTGCATTGGCTTTATCGAAATTTGGATGTAATACCAAATCCGTTCCTCTTTCAGGTCCACTTCAGCACGAGATAAACTATTTCTGTACTATAGTGAATCGACTGTTCCAGTACCGTCCAATTCAGACAATAATGCGTATAGGACCGGAACTTCGTAGAAAATTCCTTATTTATCTATCACAATACATTCAGCACCTTACCAGTCAAGCTATGTACGCTGCTCTAGTAAGTTTATCTTAGCAGTTCATTGTTTCTCGCAGTAAAGGGACGTATCGTTAATAAATTCCTTCGGCAGGGTCGAGGTGAGCATGACGACCACCATTCCCTTGCTTTACTGTTCGACTCGTGGACACTTCTTCTACGAGGCCGATGGCGACTAGAGCTGACGCAGGAGGAAGAGGCGATGATTGGTTAGTTGCATTTTTGCTAAAAAAATGTCTCTGGACTGGACCGAGCAGGTTCGGAAAGAGTGGAAATTCTTTTAAAGCAAAATCCGTGTCTAGTTACCAGTACTGCCAAAAAATTGCGAGTTTTGTTCAAGNAGACAGGTTTTGAAACGAGGTGACTAAGAATATGAGAGAGGGAAGATCGTTAGAAAGGAGCGAACACCTTCTGAATGAGTAAATCGCTGAACTATGACTTCTTTCAGATAACGAGCTGATTATTGGGCCAAATTTACAAATTGTCAAGCGCTTCGTTGAGTGCGTTCAAGCACCGCCCATCGGCTGCCGGCCACCTATTTTCACGGACGGTGACGATGATGATGAAGACGACCGAACGGTATGCCGTGATTATTGAAGGGCGTTCTTTGGATCATTCACCATTCCATCATTCCAGCTGTTTTTGGATCTCCTTACTCCGTTGGGTACGATGGCATGCTATAGTGTTCGTGAATTCATGGACATGATGATTCAGTGGGTCCCAAAACCATTCATAATTTTTAGCGATTATATATCTGTTTATATCTACATTAATTATGGGACTTGAACTTTTTTTTAATAATAGTTTGGTCCGTGAGCACATATCCGAGTTCCAACAAATGGCAGCTGGGTCTGCTGATCTGTCGCGATTACCGTTATGGCAAGAAGATATGCACTGGCTTCTACTCATTATTGGTAAGAGTTTCTGTTGAGGTTGGGTGTAAGGCCAAATGTAGGTCTCCATGGCTTTTAGAGTGCCACCTGTGTTGTTCCGAGGAGGGGGCAGTGTGACAGACGGGCCCTCCTACCATTAAACAACCGCTTATCCAATCAGTGTGAATCAAATAAAATCTTACCGTTTTGTTCCAATTTCCTTTTCTCTTTGATTTTTCCTAGCTTTATTGTAGGCGGTTATTTCCAGCTAATTCTGTGGTGAGTGAGGATATTGATGGAACGTGTCGTACTGAAGGAGACGTATTCGAGAGCTCGGTTGCAACGGTGAATGAAAGAGGGCACGTTTATAGGTAAGCCATGTTAAGGTGATCAGCTTTAACTGGTAGAGCTAGATGTCATGCCTGAGAATTCAGCTTGGAGCATACAGAAACGTTCCTTTGTCAATGCATTGAAAATCCAGCCGGCGATAGATCGCACGCCACGGATCGAGTCGATCCTTATCTGCGGTGAGCACACTCTGCTCTCAGGTTTTCTACCCCCCTATAGCAATCTTTTCTGATAATTTCCAGTTTGATCGGTGAGGTGTTGGCGTGGGCTTCTCTCGAACATCAGCTGGTGTCAGAAGCTGTTGCGAATTTCGTCAGCCCAGAGTTGACAAGGTTTGTTTTGAATTTTTCCCAACGACTACGTATGTTAGCTCTCAGGAATCTGGATAGCGGCTAATTATATCGGTGTTGAAAGGCCATCTCCTCCAACTACAAATCCCTTCACTGTGTCCGAATATAGGGGTAAGCGTGTAACGCCTTGCCGAATAGTTTTGATGCGCTTTTCTTGGTTCGTCTGTAAATTCATTCCAATGCTTTCCGTCGCACTTCTGCTATTGGGGGGAAAACTATGCGAAGTTACGCAAATTAAAGTGGTTTAGGAGGATTGCGTCTGTCAAGATGAAAAAGACTAAGTCATTAAGGTTACTAGTTAATTCAGGGTTTTTTCACCCTCACTGCGTGGGTGAATGGCGCAATGGAAATAGAATACTGACAAATATATTTAGCAGCAAGACTGCCGATGTATCTTGCCCAGGTACAGTATGACTTCTTGAAATAACACAGACAAGGTGGGGCATAACAAACAAACACCACCGCTCCCGTATATACGCACGATCTCGTGTAAGGAGTCCCTTGCGTAACCCTGCTGAGATTGTCTTTCACTAGTACACTCATCTTGGCCAAGAAAAACATTGACCCCTTCATAAGCGAGTCCCCTGAAGTATTTGTGTCAAACGCAGAAGCTTTTTAGGCTAGTGAAACAATATGTGAAAGCATAATGCTTGTAGTATTTCAAGAAGAGGTAGAAATGCAAAAATTCTTCATCTTCATATTCCAATTCATTTAGGTCCTCATTTTTGTGCCTGAGACGGTTAATCAGTGCAGCTAGCACTGCTGCCGAATATTCTGTGAGTTTTTAATAGTGATTCCAGATGATGAGAATATTTGAAGTTTTGATGATGTTCTTGTTACCGTAGAAAGGCGCAGAAACAAATTTCTCTTAATCTAGTTTTTTTCAGTATAACTTTGCAAATAATTTTGCTTTCTTAGGATGCGGATCCGTTATCGTTGCCCGTTTTTCCCCAAACGGGATCCTTTACTCATCTGATCGTCAAATTTGTTGTTCGTAAAGTTTTCACGATTCTGAACAAGTTTGCCGGAGAAGAAAAGTCAGTTTTCACGTTCTTACTTACGCAGAAAATGATGTATTATAGTATGGTAATTCGCGGTCTGTTCAGGTTATGCTTGGATGCTGTCAACTTGCTAACGGGTATGATCGAAGCGTATGCGACGCTTTTGGCATCGGAACCAGAACTTTTCGACTACCTTGGGCACCTTGATATAGCAGCACTCCCGAGCAGGTCTTTATTCAATTTCATACTTATTTGCTTTAGCCGATTTGTACGAGACAACTCTTGAGCACTGAATGAGAATAATGGTTAAAAAAAGGGAGCATGATGGAATGTGAATAAGAGCTCGTTGAGCGATATGATAAAGTCTTGGGAAGTTAATGAATTCTGTCAGAGGGATGCGCCCACTTCGACTTCCATTCAGAATCGTAGTGACGTACTGAATGCGTGTTTTCCTATACAATGACTTGCGGTGACTAGCCGATGTGCAAGTCAGTGCTTTTGTCCTCCCAGACGAGTCTGGTACCAATCAACCGACCCCAGAGGAATAGAAATCTTGGTCGGCTTAGGTGGATATATTTATCCAGGGTTCGCACCTGTGACCATGCGTATATTAAGTGCGCCACTTGCCACTACACCACCTACGCCTTAAGTGATATGGCTTCAGGAGAGATTTTTGTTTGTTTGTTTCAGGACCCTGCTAATGAAAGCATTGGTTCTAATCGGTGCAGCCACAAATGATCAAAAGCTGCAAGAAAGTATGTCAGCGAGGGTATGTTCTTTTTTACTTCAATAGAGTTCGGGAAAACCAACTCCAAAAATATCTTTTACTGACTGTCCAAAAGTGCAATTACAACGTGATGAAATTTCGGATTTGAAAACTATTTTGAGGCTTCTCCAAATTTCGTATTCGTTGACTCATTTGATTTGCATTCCGCTTCATTCTTTTCTTGAAAATAAAATGTGACTGTTTATAGGATATACGAAACTAAATAAATTGCTCGTTGGTTTTCTTATTAAATCTTATGCAGTCAGCAGTCAAAGTAGTTTGAAGAAAATCTTTATAGCGCTTCTGTGGCCTTTCTGATCAAACGGCACCGTATGTTTTTCAGATATTGGATCCATTGGGTCAACGCTTTGCTCAGACTTGTCAACAGCCGCCAAGTTCAGAAGTAGACAGCCAGCTTGTAGATCTCATCCAGTGTATGGATGGTGTGGCCAGAGCCAGTCAGCCACATTCCGCCGCTATACTCTTCAGTAAGGTCATTTTTGAGTAGTGGAATTCAACCGACGGCAGTATTTCCCTTCAGGATTCCTAAGTCCGATTCTCGAAAGCTGTGTCCCGTTGATGAAATCTCGTTCATACTCGCAGCCGGTTGTCGCTGCAATTTTAGTTCTCATTCAGGATGTCACAACCAAGGTTTCTATTTATGTGGATGATAAGGTTAGTCGTGTTTGTTAGATTGAGATCTTTAGACTATTTTTTTCAAATTAAGATCTTCTAATTATTTTATTTTAAAATTTAATGTGAACTATTTCCTCCCTTGGAATAAAAGTTCGGTTATTTTAGGAAGATTCTGCTACTTTATACCGTACTATAGTTATGATTGTGGACGTTTATCGATCAGAACAATCATCTAGGTTCGTGGGAATGACGGAAAATGATGAGGACAAAGGAAGTGATTTGGTAAAACTTTGAGAATCTGAACAAGCTTATAGAGAATTTTGTATGTTCTCTATTTCAACTTATTCAGGTGCTATTTTTGGATATTCTGTCGAACGTACTTTCAAAGGATATATTGGAAGGCGGCGAAGATAACGTGGCGACTGGAGCACAGGTGTGTTTTGCGATGATGGTGATGGCGGCGGTGATGATGGACTAGGTGGTGTCACCCTCTTCCACGATTAGGATTTCTGGGCCTAGACGTGCCCTTGTCTGCTACGCTCCCTTCCCCTTTCTTCAGGGAGCTAAGTGTAATGTCCTGGGGGTGATTATATATGAACAAGATGCGTTAATTTTTTTGTGCTGTGTTCCGATGGCATGTTCTAATGTGGAGTACATTTCAAATAATTTGTTTCTTCGCCATCATTTCTTACAGTGACCTTTATCCCTTTTCTAATTGCAGGTCGCGCTAGCGTCCTTGGAGATGCTGTTGACTGTGATGAACGAATCAGTGCTGAAGTTACCTGATTTGGCGATGAAATTCTTCCGACTCGTCCTCTATTTAGTGGAATTTTCACGTGAAGCTCTAGCCGTAATGTCAGTCCCATTATTGGTGGCCCTTTGCCAATGTCTGAGGGTAGGTTGAGCCTTTTTATCGGCTGTAATTTTTGGGTGCTGTCGTGATTGAACGATCGTGATCTCGTCAACGAATTTTGAATAAAAATGACTTTATATAATTAATATTCCATTCACTCTGTAGATGCCATTTGCGTTTCTGAGAGATCCGTGCTTTCAGGAAGGCATGACATCACAGTACGGCTCCGAGATTGCGTGTACCTCAATGGAGGCGCTTACCGAAATAGTTAGCTACTTCATCCTAATGAACCATCCTGTTCCTCCTGAGCTGGCACAGCAATTTACGGAGACTCTTCCGGTTAGCTCCAGTCATACCCTAGGTCCACTAAATACTGTCTTTCTCCTTTTTCATTACCTCTGTATTACAGTTAGCATTCGAATCATGTTTGGAGAATAGCTGTGAAAATACGATCTTCAACGAGGCGGCTTCCTGTCTATACAGCTTGATCTGTTTTGATAAGGTTTGTTCTTGAGCCGCTCGTAAAGTTCCTGTAGTTTCAGGACTGCCGCAATAGGACGCGAGCGGTTGCAGTGCGATGCGTCCTCTAATCGTCCTCGCATCTCACTGAACCGCTAGCGTCCTCTAAAGAGGAGTGCAGTACCGCGAATTTTTGTTTACTTGCACTACTTATTTACAGTCTGCATTTGATCGGTTCGTGAACGAAATGCTGTCAAACAAAAGCAATGAGTCAGCTTCGAACAAATTACGGGAAGAGTTTGCTATGCTGTTGCCAGAAGATCCGAAACCAGGGCGAAGGGAGAGGTGGTTTTTTCCTTCTTTCTGTATGAGTCATTTATAATTTACCAGTCGATTCGCTCGGCTAACGCCGGGCTTCCTTCCTTGTTCGGCAAAGTTGTAGTAATCAGTTAACTCTCCACTCCTTCCATAATGAAGAGTCAAAGCTATATTGTAAATACCGAAGGGTTAGGGTTTTGATCGATTGGTGGCTCTTGCTCTCTTGGTCCTCTTACTCTTTTATCAGTTCTTGGCGGTTCTTGTCATCGACTACCTGCAATTCCGTCATATCCTACACCACTTATTACTTAAAATGCCGTGGTTCCACTGTTAATATGAAAAGCTGTAATCCTACCGAATTTGAACTCTCTAGGCCCACGGGAACAGGAGTTATAAATTCCAGTCAAACACACACATTGACACACTTCCAGGAACACANACACACACACACACAGACACACACACAAACAAAGACACGCAAACACACCGACAAAGCAAAAGACACATATAGCAAATTATATATGGTAGGACAAGAAGGAGGAGAGCCCGGCGTTAGCCGGGTGATCCGGCTGGTCATCTAAGGTGATGTCAAGATATCGGGAATTCGATGTAAAAGTCAAGGATAATACTGAAACCGGTCGGAATGCAAACCCGGCTTTCTACACCACTTTTCGGATCAAATAATCTTTCTGACTACAAATTTCCGAAGGGGGCTCCATCGATTATGCGGGCACTACAAGTCCGACCCGAGTCGCGCCCGCCCACTGCTTACTCTGATAGGAGCTCATTCTGTTGCCCTTGATCTCTACAGTTAGAAATCTTCCACTACGGAGACTATGGAGTCATTCCTCCCCTCTTGCCTCCTGACGACTGACTTCTCTACAACTGTGGAATCTGCTTTCAATACTCGTCCAATTGTGAAAGCCGTCGATTGAATCTCTATACCAACGTGTATGGTTGATTCTCCTTTACTTGCCTTCTGTAGGTTTCTGTTTTCTTGTTATGATGGTAGGCATGATGTTGTAGCGTGTTTCGTCCGCGGCTACACGAGGCCATAGGCACACCCGTGTGAATCGCAACACACTCGAGCACATTCAGTCGTAGAGGAACACAGGGGCTCCACGACATCTGATCCTTCACATGATACTCGAATGAAAAAGTCCACGTCGTGAAAATGAGGGTCATGGGACGATTGAACTATTGCAGTGTACTAGTACTGGTTAGAGCTCCCATACCAAGGTACCACTGAGGTTCTATCGATGATTTTCTTGACCCCAATGAAAAGGATTCGTAGGGCAGGGTTTCAGGATGCAAGTGCTATGAAGAGAACCGTGAGCGGGAATCCTTTATGTTTTCTCTGATCAACATCGATAGTCACATATCGTCCAGCCCAAAAGGGAGAGTGAGGAGTCCCTGATTTCAAAGTTGTTCAGGACGTTGTCCCATTCCTCGTGCAGTGTCATCTTCTACAATACAACTGTAAGTCTCGCGTTTAGCAGTGAGTAGCCTTTATTTAGTAATAAAAGTCCGATTGAAGTGGATCATAATAAATTGGTAGGTATTGTCCGGTATCGGTGTCAAGCCGGTAGTAACCCTCGTTGGCAATCCATGTTTGATCCACACCACACCTGTCGGAAACGTACAATCTGCAAAAATATCAGCTTGATTTGGCACAAAATGACCTCTCGGAAGAAATGGCTTCTTACTTGATATTCTTCTCTTCTCCTGTTTCTTTCACTTCAAGGATATGGGTCCTGAACAAAAATGGAGCGTCATTGTACATCTCGGAGAAATCACTACCAGTACCAGGTGGTACTGGAGTCTCGTTGTCATTTAACTTTTCATAGCCGAGTAGGTAATTGGTTAATAGGTTTTCATTCCTGCGTAAGTTTGAAGTACGAATAAAACTGAAGTACGCTCCATAATCAAGGTTCTCCGTAACATTCCCTTTGTATTCCACGTTAACGGCGCCGCCTGTTCCACCGCCTTTGACAGAATAGATTTTTACAATACGCAAAATGAGCTTGGTTTTCTTGTCGAAAATGACCGGGTAGATATGTCTCATTCGAAGTGTACTTGTTGATGGTAGACCAGCCGTACCACACTTGGTGTTGTCTCCATGATAGTACCACTGAAACATACCGAATTTCAAAACCACACGATACTCTAATTACTTTTGAGGTGTAGCATTCCCAGCTTCACTGAACTAGAGCATTCTGATGGAACTCAACTAAATACGGTTCGAGTTTGAGGGCACCGACCCCACGAGGGGAGTATGCCTCGGGGCAACAGTGGCACAGCCGAGCCAGAAGCCTTCATATTTCAGACAAACTCAATTCCTCATCTCCCGTGAATGTTTCCTCTGCGAGCACCACCTCCGCTTCTGCGATAAAATACCGTCAAATGTCTCTTATGGCACGTCTAACATCCCGTGATCCTGTGATTCCCGCGACACAATTTGTAGATCCGGGAATCGTGAAACCCCACTCTCATGGTGATGAGCACTGCTAATCTGTAAAATGCCCACTAGAAGCGATTTTATTGCATTGTAGTGACAAGGTTCAGTGAGAATGAGGGCACTAAGCCCTGTTCGAGTTGTTCTCACTCTCTGCACCATCTGTGTTCCTTCTCTCGATGCTCCCCCTGTCCCTTTCTATCGACCTGCTCATTATCCATCCACCGGGCATAACTTCTTCATTTGTACCCCTTAACCTTTTTTTATACTTGAGGTTTATCCCCCTTTTTCCTTATCATCACGCACTCTTATCAGTAGGAGGGTACGCTTCTTACGCACCATTCACATGATTGTGGGAATAATATCACGGAGCGGTAGTTAGACGTTACCCTCGAAGGGGTGTCGTTACAGCAAAGTGAAAGAGCGTTTTCGTCAACGTAACATCGAGCTAATCATACATCTTTCCCAGTAGTGCTACTTAATGACATTTGGGCGGATTACTTCGTGAAGGCTAACACAACCCCTCCGATCGGCAATCTACCACCGGTTGGAGACCTGATCATCTTTGCATGTAAGGAGCATCGGAAATGTCGTATTAGCGATCTTTTCTGATCACGCAACATGAAAGGCTGTTGATGTAATGATAGACCTTCTAGGCCGTGGAAGGCTGTTGGAGGATTGGACTGAAATCTCGCGTCTATTAATGTTTCACCCAGAAGAAATCTTCCATGGGCAATTAGGGTTTCATAACCTCCACCGAACAATGTCTGGGCCACATTTTCATGGAAATCCATTGGTGTTCTGACCCTGATCTTCATACTCTCCACTGAAACAGCGAGAGCGCCAAGCAGCAAAAGCATCGAGTGGGGGTTCAGAAACATCATCTGTCCCTGTAAAATTGCTTTGAGCTGAAACCAAAACACAACGATGCAATATGAAGCACCAACTTCGCAGTTATCGGATACTGTGCTAAAGGTGGTTGTGGTTGTTTGTGCACGTGTAGCGAGAAGAACAGGCTTGTAGGTTGGAAGGTCGACGACTGAGCGAACGAATGAACCCTACCCTTCGGAAGGAGCTTAAATAGGGCTACCTATGCAATTGTTTACGATACTCTTTGCCATAGTGATACACTTTGCAAAACAACAACCAGGTGTAGTCGCATTGAACAAACCGCTCATCTTTGCTATCTTCTCAAAGCTTCTCTGTGGGGGCGTAATCAAGCCATCATCATTTATGTCTTGTTGAAAGCTTGACTCATGAGCTCGCGGCAATCTTTTCCTCCACTGGTCATCTGGCAAACACTTGGCACTGTCCAGAACTACTATAAAATAGAGGGAATAGTTTATAGTAACTGAAAGATGAATACTTGTATTCCATCTGAAATATGGAGTGACTAGAGGAGCGAAGTCTGGTTCTGCTACCTGTCATAAGTACTCCCATCCTGTCACCCGTACTGCTACCAAATTTGATCTCTCTAGGAACAGGAGTTATGAATTCCCACTCAACCATTTATTTCGCGCACGCCCCGCCCCCTGTGTGGAAGGAGGGTTGTTGTGAAAGCGCCAGATCTCTGCGCTAGTCCTTTCTTCTACGGGTCGTCCTAGACGGTTGAAGCTTTGTTAAGGATCACTTCAAAATTTCTCCTAGCTGGGGAAGAAAGTGGGACGGGATAGTCCCAAATATCAATGAAGCCTTTTTTCGTGCTGTACATGTGGCGTATCCCAGAAATGTTGAATATATGAGTTCTGAGAAAGTTGGGAATATAAAAAGTCCACTATTTTAACTCAATTTTTGATATCTTTCAACTGAAACTGGAAACTCATCTGTTCATTTTTCAGAATTGCCTTCCGACAACGTATGGAACGGTTTTTGAATGAGATTCAAGGATTGTTATCGTACAACTGAAGAAAAAAAGTCGTGGCGCAGAAATGGAACGGTGATTTGAAGCTGGTGCTGACAAAACATAGCGATTACTTAAATCTCGCAAATACACACCCTAGATTGGGCTCAGTGACACAGAGCTATTAATACCTGTTCTGAACCATATAATTATATCTCTTCGTCTTTGATTCGGTCGTTTTGCATTGAAGGTACCCTGAAATTCCTATGACTAGAAGAGCGTTCACGGTGTATGCTACTAGGTTACTCCCATTACGAAGTGTAAGTTAGCCAGATGAGGTCACGGGCAGAATAGGTTTTTTTGTAATACTCTCCTTCTCCCATACCTTTTTCGTGAAGTTTTGCAAGTGGTTGATCGCCTCGGATGTTGCCAGCGTTTCATTCGATCGATATGGGGGCGGTTCTGGTTTGTCATTGAAATAATGGGGAGTCTGTTTTAGCGTGCGCGTACGTAATCGATTCAGATTCTTCCAGCGTTGGATTTCGATTGGGAGGACCACGGACCACTTTAGTACAAGGGAAGTGCTACCTTTTTCGTTAGCGATAGCTTTGAAGGCCCAGTCGAGGAACCTTGTGTGCGTGGTAGAATAGGCATTTTTTTCCTTGAATGGAAACCTCCGACAGAAAATAAGCTTCACTAGGGATCCCCTATCATAGGGATCTGAATTTCATGTTGGCCACCTGGTGAATCTGATCCCAATTTAGGGTTGTGTTTTTACGCAAAGTTGTGGTTCATCTATATAAGGCGTCATTCTTGCTAATATCAAAGATTTCAAAGTATTCCATCATACTGTATTCATTGAATGTATAAGAACATTTCCTCTCGTTTGTGACGTCATTTTCCTTCCTCATGTCCCCTTCAATTTGGCATAATGATTAGAGATGAATAGATGAAAGGGTAACGTCCGTTCCGCGCGTCCGTCGAAACTAGGTCACCCCGCACACTTCGCGCGCGACGCAGCCCACCGCGAACTCGAGATGACATTACAGTACCACTAAGTGTCAGTGGAGTGAACGATTTGCGTTAGTCGGGCTATCTTCTTTTTATGCTGACTGCCTTGGACCAAGCGCCAATATTATGCCCCACTGACCACTGCGGCAACTGTCAAAAATCGCGGGCTGACGCGCCGCCTGCGATGGCTGCGGCGTGACCTAGTTTCGACGGACGCGTGGAACGAAGCGCACCCAGAGATGAACATGTTCTCTGAGGCTCCACCCTCGTTTGGTGAGCTGAGGTGAGTATAAACTGCAGACTGGTTGGTATGGGGTTGGGTAATGCTCGACCAGAACTGTAGCCAGCCAGTTTGCAGCCTACCATACCCACAGGCTCTAGAGGGGTCTCTATGGCTTGTCTGAGATCGACTGCTGGAATACGATAGAAAATCAAGTTGTGAGGGATGAGCAGTAATTAAATTTGCTTCCTTTACTACAGGAACACGACATATAAACGATTGAACGTACGGTGAATAATTTGCAATGAATTCATATTTCATTGAAGCCTTACATCATCTAATAATGCTGGTCATTTTCATGTGTACTTCAATATTTGCTGTTTTCTTTTCTTTTATTTTTCGTTGAGCTTTGGAGAATTGCAATTATTGTGTGTAATTTGCTAATCAATAAATGAATGAATTCTGTTTATGTTTTGTTTTGTTGTGGTGTTTTCTACACAGTATCACAGATCCCTCGAAATGATGCATCAACAGAGACATGAACAGGAAATTTCGGTGTTCTGTTCGGGTTGCGTCGGTTTGTCCGAAGCCGAAATTCTTGTGGGGGTCGACGGGGTTTGAGGGGAAGATCGGCTCTCCTCTTCAGGTATATAGAGGTTATTCTGCGACTGTATCTTGGAGAAGTGGAATAAAATACTTTCGATTTGAGGTTTGATAGGTTCGCAGAGCTGTGAATGTGGGGAGAACCGGGTGTGGTGCGTAAGGAACGAAATGGTCGCGTCGCGGTGAGAGGGGCGTCGCGCGCGAACGAATGTAGCAGGATGCAGCACTAGGTAAGAAATACAAGAACAAAAGTACAAATAGTAGAATTGTGCATAAAATAATGATCGCATATCGATTGAGCTGTATGAAGAACGCTAGAGCTGTAATAACGGCGAATGAGTGGTTCGCGACAGCCGCGTGCAGCGAATCGATTACCTAAAATCGTTCCTAACGCCCGTCTCCCGGGAGACCGATCAGGATAGGAATCGGTCAGTCTAAGAAGATCAGGGTACTATACCTAACTTGTTGATAGCAAACTTGTCTAGTGCCAACTAAATGAATTGTGAGGATAAAAACATTGGTCTGCACATCGGCTGGCCACTGCTGTTCATCCTATGAGCCAAATGAGTTTTCATATCAGCGCTACGATTCCGGATGAAAGCGAGGGTCATTCCCAAAAACGGGGTTGATTAATGCCGGGCGATTCACTTATTGTTTCATTCTACTCATTCTTTTTTCATTTAGTTCACTCTTCCTCTTTTTGCATTCATTCATTTCATCAATCTATTTCCTCATTTTTCATTTCTTCCATTTATTCTTTCACTTGATTCAATCTCTTCTACATTCGGCTCATTCCTTTTTCATGCAGTTCATTCTTTTCTTTTTTCATTCGGTCATTTTATCATTCTATTTCCTCGTTCTTTCGTTCCATCTATTTCTATCGTTTCATCTGATTCAATCATTCTTTTATTCTACTCCTTTTTTCATTGTAGTCACTCANTTTTCATCTTGAAGTTGCAAAATTTTTCTGAAAACTTCTCAACGAGATAAAAGATCAACGAAATTTCGTGAAAATTCGAGATGAGTTGGCAGGGTTGTTTACTTTGATTTTTCCAAACGATATTTTCTAGAAGTCTACATTGCCCCCGACTTCCCTCCTGGTAATAGTTCATTTTTACCGTATCCCACTTTTTTGCCATTTTTTTTTGTTGTTCTAACTTTTTTTGCACTACGTTTTGTTTGTGTATACGTTCATAAACGAGGGGAAAAATATGCCTCATATTTGATAAAAAATCGTGGATCTGCAAAGAATTATCTGGGCGAATCCGAGTTTCTGCTTAAGGATACTTGAAAGAAAAACAAAAAAAAAACACACATGCTTCAAGAGAAGATAAAAAAAGTTACGTCAAACAAAAATTATCCACATATGTCTATGTTGTCAGGCTTTCACAAACGCCAATTTAAACTTGATTTCGTGTTTAGCTACTTCGTAAATAACGGTGGAAATCGGAAATCGAATGTTCGTTCTTCCGAGCTATTGCTACTTTGAGAATCTGCATCGACCTGAGCAGAAATTGAGAAAAATGGGCAGCTTTCGATTCCTTGCTTCTTTTGTACGCTATGTATTATGGAACTGCATATATGTGTATTTGAGTGTGTAAATCCTGAAATTGTTCGATTTTAGTCGATTGTTCTTTGTCATGTCGTTTGTTGGTTTATTTCTGTGTTCTCTAAATCGTTATTTTGCATAACTGAATCTAGCTTTGGTAAAGGATAATTTGATTAGGTCAAGAAGCGTGTTCTATTCAATTTTCGCTGAGAGGAAATGAGAGTTATCACAGTAAATTCAAAACCCGTTGTTAGTTTTTAGTTTCTGCTGCGGATTTCCCTCAGTTTGGTGTTGCCACTGCTTTGAGTCAAGACTTAAATGGGTAAGCTGAAGCGCTCAGGACTTGCGTCTCTGCTAGCAAGTTGCCTCGAATCGCAAGTGAGAATTGAGGAAAAATGCCTAGCTGCTGCACGGAAATCAGAGGGTTAGGGACGAGTTCATGGTGGCGGAAGGGGAGGGGGGAATGTAAGAGGTGGAAAGTCGAAGGAGCAATGCTGCTTGATAGAAAGAGTCGGTGAGCATAGAATTGTGTTAACAATAATTATTCTAGTGAGTCAAGTAGTATGAAAAAACAAAACGCTGCTCGTAACTCAAGTGCATGTGTCGAAGGTTCTTCTGCAGGGAGAATACGAAAGGAGCATAATCGTACCTTGAAATCTTATTTCACCTTTAGTTCACATTTCTTTACCACTGATATCAACAAGTCACTTCATTCCAGTTTTCACCATTAGATTCTTTGTAGATCACATCGGTCTCTTCTCTGCTCGCTCCATCTCCGGCCGTACTTTTCTCTGTCCCTTCTCATCTAGAGATTATCACTAAGTGACCCAGCACGCGATACGAAGCAGACAGAACAGATGGGACGACCAGCGTGCACACTCTCCAAGGCATAGCTAAGCATCGGCAAAGTTTTGGCACCAGGATGACCGACAGACCGGTTGACATGAGAAGGTTAAAGGTGGTGAAACGTTGCAGGCGGGATGTTGAAGTCGATGCTTCAATTTTTTTTACAATTATTTTAGTTCTCGAGGGATGGGTGGTTTTTTTCTTTTCCGCTCTGTTCCGAGATCAGGAGATGAAAAGCATTTGCTTCCTAGCTGCAAATTTCTGAAGGATCAGGGATGTTGGAGCTTGGAGGCTTCGGAGCTGGTTCTGCGGCTTATCGCCTAATCCAAAAGTGAAGGAAAATCTCCAAGAAGAACAGAAGGCAGTCAGGCCTGAAGTTCATCTCTTTTTTTGACTGCTATTCACTCATCAGTACTCAAAAGCACCTGCTCATCAATCTATCCGCTCTCAATTACCTTTGCCTGTTCTCTCTCAATCAGTGAATTTGACAAGTTCAACCAGAATAATATACGCTGCTGAAGGTCCGATGGGCTATTGTGATTTCATGGTGTGGCGGGTAAGAGCCTGGTCTCATTTCTGTGAAGTAACGGGATCGGATTTGCGGCGTTACACCACATTTTGTGCTTGAGTCTACGCTCAAGAGCGCATTCGAGCTGGTCATACCCGCAGAATAAGCTACCAAACTTTGCATAAAGTGTAGATTTCGGAACGCAGCAAAAGTTGAAAGTTACGGCATATGGAAGCAGGGCTCGCTAGCCGACACGCATATCCTGAGCACAGCTAGCTTACGCATTCTGGGAAGTATGTCGTCAAGCACCGGGTGTTGAGTGCAGCCTTTGCTGGTGATAAAGCTGGAGGTCAAGAAATAATTTGTCTGTAATAAATGTCCTTGGTTCATGCTGTCATCCAGTACTGCATTCTCTCTACATTCATACTGTATAAGAAAAATGATCTGTTTATTGTTGGACTATGTGGAGGCTGCAATCTTCAACTTCCGAAGCCTCAAGGGATCCTCTGGCATGAACATGTCAAGAATGAAGCGTTATGATTTGCTAAGGAGATCGTAAGTGGGAGGTCCTGAAATGCTCAAGGTAAATGGCTGGTGTAGGGAATCCGCGGCGTTCCGAAATCTACACTTTATGTCTACAAATCTACACTTCCGAAATCTACACGTAGACTCAAGCACAAAATGTGGTGTAACGCCTTGAATCCGACCCCGTCACTTCACAAAAACGAGACCAGACTCTTATCCGCCACACCATGAAATCACGGTGGTCAGTCTTGCCCGTCGACTATGTCAGCTTGCCAGCCAGTTCGATACCGGCTGAAGCACACTTCGGCTTACCCGAGCTGTCCGATGGGCCGGCCTTCAGGAGCGTATATCATCCTGGTTCAACTTGTAAAATTTACTGATTGAGAGAGAGCAGGCAAAGATAGTTGAGAGCGGGTAGTTTCAGAAGCAGATGTTTTTTGGTACTGATCAGTGGATAGCAACTGCGCCGAAGAAGGAGATGAATCTCAGGCCTGACTGGTTGCTGTCTTCTTGGAGACTTCCTTTCGCTTTTGGGTTGGACGATAAGCCGCAGAACCAGCTCAGAAGCCTCCAAACTCCAACATCCCTGATCCTCCAGAAATTTGCAGCTCGGTAGCAAATGCTTTTCATCTCCTGATCTCGGAACAGAGCAGGCGAGAAAATCCACCGTTCTTTTAAAAACTAAAAAAGTCGTAGAAAAGTTGAAGCATCCGCTTCAACACCCTGCCTACGACATTTTACCACCTTCAATCCTCTGGTGTCAACTGGTGTGGCGGTCATACTTGTGCCATAACTTTGCCGATGCGTAAGAGAGGGCTCACTAGTCGTCCCATCTATTCTGTCTGCTTCGTATCACCTGCTGGGTCCGTTACTGGTAATCTCTAAGTGAGAAGGGACAAAGAAATGTACGGCCGAAGATGGAGCAAGTAGAGAACGAACCGATGTGATCTACAACGGATCTAAAAACTGGAATGAAGTGACCCCCATCTCACAAGGATGGCAATGTGTTGGCAAAACTTCGGCCTAGGATGGGACTTGAACCCGTACTTGTGCTTTCCGGGCACCGTGGTTTATACCCACGAAATTCACATTGTAATGCTTCAATTGTCGAGACTATTTGGTGGGCATTCCCTGTGGGTGATGGAATTTAACTGGATGTAGCGGATGTCTCTGAGAAATACCCAGCGGAGTGATCAACAACAGATCTGATATTATCTTTTTTTATTCGGAAAATGCCGAAAACAGGTAAATATACACAATGAAAAACAGAAAATCAAATAGCCGTAGTCGAAATCAAGTAAGCTACATCTACAGTTTCGCCAATCAGAAAATGAACCCCGGTCGAACTACGGGGAAAATTTGTAGGGAGTAAATTAAAAACTGTAAATGTAGCCTTCCAATCAGCAAAATGACTATTAAAAATGAAAAAAATCACATACCAAAGGGGAATAGAGAAGAAAAACAGGCTCTCACTGAACATTTGCTCCTAATCACCACAATAGATATCACCTTATCATCGAAACTAATCAGATCAAACTGTTACACGTAAATTCGTAGTGGGTCATTTAATGTTAGACTTATTCTATTACATTAAACATTAGAAAAAAGAAATACCTGAGATATTAATTACATTTAATTACAATTACAATTACACTGTATCACACCGTTTTGTGAAACGAAATCGACGTAAAAAAGCGAATCTTGACGAAATACGACTTTTGTCTGACCACTCGGAAAGGCTTTTGTTGGCCGCTGATCGTCCCCCGGACGATATCGAGCACGTTGACGGGGCAAACACAACTCCTTTTTTAGTTAGTGATGGTCGCGAAGACAGGGGTGAAGTAGCAGAACGACCTGAAACGAAAGAAGATCCTTAGTGTTACCTTGGGATAGTGAGCGATAAGTGGGACGCGAATATGGCAAGCTTTCATGAGCATTCATAGCACTGTTATGGAGCCCAGGACTCATTTAGGAATCTTTGCAAAGGACACTGTTGAGCCGAACCTATACTTTGTTGACAAGTTGTCCGAAAAGGTAAAAGAACCCCGAACCGACTTGGGTAAGGGTAATGGAAAGAGAAACTTCTGTAGCTAGAAAAGATCAGGGATATAGGCAAGGATTGAGAGCATTCCTCATCACAATACTGGTTCAGAGCCCCCGGCAAGAATAATTCTCCCGGCCGTCTTTTCACTATAGGATGCTGCTTCGTACCCACAGTTTCAAGATTAATTCTTAGGACGAATTGACTTCTTGACGTCAAACGTATAACGTCACCTCTGCTTACCCAATTTCCTATTTAGTCAAGAATTAGGCTTCTATTCTTGGTCATATTGTAATCTGTTCCCTCTTTGCTCACGTGTTCCTCGAAAAACCTCAATCTGAGAATGTATTAGGCCTCTAAAGCCTCGTTTCTCAAAATGTTTACGCTTCTAGATACCGTGCAAACGGCTATCTGATATGTTCGCCCCCTTAATAAGTCATGGAGTCTCGTCGCGCATTATGGTTTCCTCGTACTCTACCGTCAATATGCAGCAGAATCATTAGCCTCCCTCAGTTGGTAGCTTTCTGGCTACTCACGCTATTAATTTTTAACAAAAAAAAAACCCAAAAAATTAAAATTCAAGACCGGGTCTGAACCTTTGAATCCTCCGATTTTTTGTTTGTGTCAGTTTTTACTAGAGAGTAACCTAAAAAAAAGAAACTAACCATTATGGAGATGGACCAGCGAAAAGGCATAGCCTGTACGTGACTGTTGTGATTTGAATTGCGAAGTCCGGACGGATGAGGTGACAGCGTTGAATTCCTCATCAGAAGCAAGAAAACGCCAACCAAGAAGTCGTCGTAATGAAACACGGAAACGCCTGAAGAAATAACGAAGATCACTATAGGAAAGGATACAATTGGACCTGAATACGCCGTGTACTAGATATCTACTCGAATTCACAATGATTTTGGCTATCTGCTTACTCGATATAAGCTCTTCAAGAGGGTCTCCATGGGTTCATAAAAATGGCTTCTCCCAATGCAATCAAGAAGTTATCTAACTCCAGCCAAAATCTCTCTTGTGCCGAGCAGTTCTACTGTAACCGTCTGTCTGTCTGGGTCAGAAGTCAGTCTTACCAGGAGCGCAGCTGCAGGAGGTTTAACCGGTCTAGCGAAAACCGGAAGCATGATTTCAGAAACTTCATATTTTAATATTTTGATAATACAAACCTTGACATGAACATATAGACGGCGAAAGAGATTGGATGCAAAGTGACAAGAATGATGTTGGAAAAAGCACGAAGATATGCCGAATGAGCGAATTCCAGCGAGCCCAATGGTAGTAAATCAGAAAGTTTCACCAGAATAATCAGTACTGTCGATGGAACCCTGAAATAAAAATAATAATTTTTATATCTATCATGAATTGAAGTAATGAGTTGCGGTGAAGTAATATTTGCCTCAAGGAACGTAAACACTACTTCAGCCCAAATTAAAGGCACACTTCACGATAAAAATGGCTTCTGAGATTTCTCCACAAAGTGAATTTGA